TTTAATACATCTATAAGGTTTTCTTTTTTCAAAATGCATTTTAAACTTAAGCAATTTTTATTTACTCCTTTATTTTTTCTTTCCTCCTTCATAAAAAGGTATCTAGCAATTTATCATTTAAAAATTAAAATTATTTTCTACTTTTTATCATTTACATTAAATTCTCTATATGCAAATTGGGTTTTCTTTTTTCTTCAGAGAGAGACAAGGAGAGGGGTGGGGGGTAAAGAGAGCTACAGGGAGAGAGAGAATCTTAACCAAGATCCATGCCCAGCATGGAGCTCGATGTAGGGCTATCTCACAACCCTGAAATCACGACCTAAGCCAAAATCAAGAGTCAGACACTTAACCAACTAAGCTACTAAGGCACTTCTTTATACAAATCCTTCAACCTTCCTCAGAATAATCCTTCAATTCACGTTCTCATTTCTGCTGATCTGATAGCTTGCTTATAGGCACAAAATGAAGACACTGCTACATACAGAGGCATACATAAAGCTAAGACATATTTGAGTCTCATATTTTCATGCTTTTACCTCTTCTCTAAGTCCAGAAACAGTCCCAGTGGTGACAGACACTATTAATTACCTACAAATATCCATTCCCACTTCTTTTTTCTTTTTTACCATGAGAACTCCAATTTTATCCAGGCAACAATGTTAACCAGCCCCAGGAAACTCATCATGATTATAACAATCTTTTCCCCTCCTTTTCCCACCCTACCCTGTATATAGGGGTGGTCCAGTGAGAAATCTGCAGGACAATTCCAGAGGATGAAAAGGAATCCAAAAGAGGGCAAGAGACATTCTGGGAAAAACATATTTTCCTAATAAAACATATAGCTAGTCCTCTCCTTTCCCACTGACTGGACAAGATGCCTAAAAATGCACCAGCCCTAAGTCTCCCTATCATCACTGAGTAGCAGAATCAGTGCCCACGACCACCAACTCACTATTCTGTGGGTATTCAGTTACTTGCAGCAAAAAGCTTTCCTAACTGATTAATCTTCCCCCAAAAAATCCAAATAGGGGTCAAGTAGTCCTGTAATAGCACAAATGAAATGTGACCCCACAGTACAGACCCAGCTCCATTCTCTGACCCACCATGAGAAACTCTCCAATGAGCAGTTTGTCAAAAGAGAACGGATATTTTTTATTCCACCTGACCCTATCACCACACCTCAGAATGCAATCCATGTGGCAGTCAGATGACCACACTCTTTCAGCCTGTGGAGAACAGACTAGAAAAGTAAAAACAATATAAATTTCAACCCCTATCCTCCAATGACCTTCATAAAGGCTCCTTGTGAATTATGAAATGTAACTCCAGGGGCACGTGGCTGGCTTAGTCAGTAGAGCATGCAACCCTTGATCTTGGGGTTGTTGAGTTCAAGCCCCACATTGAGTGTAGAGATTACTTAAAAATAACATCTTAAAAAAAAAAAAAGGAAGAAACATAATTCCATTAAAGGAACTAAAATTTTACCTCCTCATTTTCAACTTGTTTTTGGCTTGTTAGTTGAAGGTTAGTCATTGACATTTTAAAGAGTACCTTTCATTTGGCCAACCTCAGTAAACAAATGTCTTTAATAATGTTAGCATCAAATATATTTCAGTGTTCAGACTTTCAGTGGCTTCATATGTTTATGCTTCTGTTCTTTTTAATGATTTATTTAAGATCCATGTAAGCTCATCACATTGCATTTAACCAATATATCTTTTTTCCCCAGTTTTATTGAGATATAATTGGCATATAACATTGTGTAAGTTTAAGGTATACAGGTAATATAGGCAAGGTATAAGGTGATGAAGGCAATAATAACTTTCAAATCTCTTTTAATCCAAAAGTTCCTCCTCCAACTCCAACAATCATTTATTCTGTCATTTCCCAGGTTGGATATTGCTGGTGTGGTTTTACATATCCGTCTCTTCTCTGTATATGTTGTAAACTGGTAGTTGGATCTGAAAGCTTGATCACATTCAGACTTGACTTCTTATATCAGGAGGTACCACAATGACTAGTTTTCTTTTTTGTGATGCTAGTAGCCTTTTATGTTTATGAACTGTTTTTACTCACCACACTTCTGATAGCAAACGTTTGGGTTTTCCATACCATGCAATTGTTTAATTCCTTATATACACCAACTGTGTATCTGACACTTAACTACCAGGAATTAGCTCAGACCCCACAGTTTAAGGGCTCAGATCCACAAGACTGCCTCCCAACTTGGGACATTAATCACAAGTTCTGGAACTCTGGGACGACTACTACTACTACTACTACTACTACTACTACTACTACTACTACTTTTGACCAACTGAGCAACTACAAATCAGGAGTTCCCACACACCCCTCTTCAAATTCAATAATTTCACTAAAATGATGCACAGAACTCAGTAAGGCACTTTACTTACTATTACCAAGTTATTACAAAGAATAAAAGATACAACTCAGGAAAAGATGGGGGAGGGCTCTGGGCACCTGGGTGGCTTGGTGGTTGAGCGTCTGCCTTTGGCTCAGGTAGTGATCCCCCGGTCCTGGGATCGAGTTCTGCATCAAGCTCCCTGTGGAGAGCCTGTCCCTCCCTCTGGCTGTTATCTCTGCCTCTCTCTGTGTGTCTCTTATGAATAAATAAATAAAATCTTAAAAAAAAAAAATGGGAGAGGGCTCCAAGACACACCACCCTCTCAGCACCTTGATGTGTTTTACCAACCCAGAAGCTCTCCAAACCCTATCATTCAGAGATTTTTGTAGAGACTCCATTACATAAGCATTATTGATTAAAGCATCAGCCACTGGCAATTAACCAGTTACCAGTCTCTTTCTCTTCCACAGAGGTTGGGGGGGGGGGGTGGAGCTGAAAGTTCCAATCCTATAATCTTATTGTAACATCATGATCTGCAACCAGCTCCCATCTGAAGCCATCCAGGGGCCCACCAAGAGTCATCTCATTAGCATAAACTAAGATTAGGTTGAAAGGGGCTGATTATGAATAACGAATGATACTCCTGGCACCTCTATTACTCAGGAAATTCCAAAGGTTTTAGAAGATCTGTGGCCAAGAATCAGGACAAAGACAAAATATGGATTTCTCATTATATCACAATATTCAATGTCTAGATCTGTTAGATTATTAAGGTTTGTAATTTGGTAACATTCTATCATTCCTTCTTCCTTTATTACTGGAATACTCCTCCTCTAAAAAGACCTATTTGTTATTTAGTAATACAGTTCATATAGAAAAAGAATAGATGTTTGATTTCCTTTTTTTTTAAGATTTATTTATTTATTTATTTACTTACTTACTTACTTACTTATTTATGATAGAGAGAGAGAGAGGCAGAGACACAGGCAGAGGGAGAAGCAGGCTCCATGCAGGGAGCCCGACGTGGGACTCGATCCCGGGACTCCAGGATCGCGCCCTGGGCCAAAGGCAGGCACTAAACCGCTGAGCCACCCAGGGATCCCCCGATTTCCTTTTTTTAAAACTCATTTTCAAAATAATGAGTTGCTTCTCCAAAATTTTCAATACTAATCAATTAGCTGTTCATTTCCTTATATAAATTCATGAATTTAAACATATTTTATGGGTTTTAACCTACTGTCATTCTTATTGGTGGTCAATTTGTCCCATCTTTGGCCACAAGAGCCTGTTCAGGTTGACCCCTAAGTACAAAGTAGTCTTTGAGAGCTTCTTTGGTATCTGATAATGTTTCAGACTCAACTTAAAAATTTCCCGCTCTAGTGCTGGAAGCAGCCATTTCTCCAAGAATTCTCATTCCTTTTAAAATGAAATGGTATCTGGATTTCACAGTTGAGAGTAACACCTGTCAATTCATTCATCAAACATTTTCTGAGCAGTTAATATGTGTCAGTCACTAGATTTGGCTTTGAAGATAAAGATATAACACAAATTCACAAAGCTGACAAACCAGTGGCATATATTTAGAATAGATAACCAAGCAACACAGAACAAAGCAAATAAGCCCTATGCAAAACAATCCATTTGGAATTTATCTGGTCAAGGAATATACTTTGATCTAACTAGTATCCTTAGAGAAAAATAAGAGAGAAATGTGACTCATAATGACAGAGTTAAAGAAAGACTCAAAGGACTATACTACACCTTGACTAAAAGAACAGAATTGAATCATTCTCCAGACCTATAAGTACTATGCTCATGAAAGTCAATCAGAACTGGGGAGGGGGGTTGGGGGGGGGAAGGTTGAAGAAGGGCAAACTTATTTTCAGGTGTACAGAATTACCCAAATAACCAAATGCCTTTCATACAATGTTAAAGGTCCCAGCCAAACTAAGGAAATATTTCCTTTCCAAGGACAGGTACACTTACCATCAGTGTGTTTCTTACCATACTATTGCAGAGACTGAAGTGAAATACCTCTCAATCAAAATATATTTTGAAATTTGCAACTATTCCATTCACTAATATTTTACTTCCATCTAGAAATTAGTTACAAAGCACCTTACCTTTTTGCTTTTTTATTAATTTTCCCTCTTCCCCATTTCCACTTACATCCCTTTCTGTTTCTTAAACTTCTTTCTTCCTGACTTCCTGAAATGGAGCTTATCCAGGAACCTCCCTTAAACCAATGACAAAGCTGGATCCCTGGGTGGCGCAGCAGTTTAGCGCCTGCCTTTGGCCCAGGGCCCGATCCTGGAGACCCGGGATCGAATTCCACGTCCGGCTCCCAGTGCGTGGAGCCTGCTTCTCCCTCTGCCTATGTCTCTGCCTCTCTCTCTCTCTCTCTCTCTCTCTCTATCATAAATAAATAAAAATTAAAAAAAAACAATGACAAAGTGATAGAAAAGACAGAAAGAAACTGCTTCCTGTGTTAATTTTAAAAGGAAAATTCATTTAAAACAGTATCTAGCATTCTGCATTCTCACAAAGGAAACGTAAATGTTAACCTGTTTGAAAATGTTACATGCTATAAGTTACAAAATTAAACATTACAATAGAAAAGAATAAAATTTCCCACCTTTCAGCACTAAATGCTGACTCTGTGTCGATGTACACAACTTCTCCTTCTAATCCTCCCATGTTGGTAGGTAATGTGGCCAAAATGCTCATCATTATACAAAACTGAGTTTTTCCACAACCTGGTGGGCCTGTAATCTTAAAAAAAATTTTTTTAAGTTATTTATATAAACATCACAAGCTAGTCAAAGCAAAATTCTCTTAAGAACTTGCCACTAGTCCCACTAATCTGGGCTCCTTGAGTTCCTTAATGTTTCTTAACATTCCTTAGAATGTTCTTCAAACATTCTAATACATCTATTGTATGTAAGGAATTAACTTCTCCCTTATGTGTCTGGGTTGGTACTAGTTTGATTCCATCCTTGGGAAAAATGAAAAAATAGTCACTCAAACCATGCTTTGTGTTCTGCAGTTCAGATGAAAAGCTTTGGTTGAGAGAGGCTGGAGGGTGCATTTATACATTCAGAACTGGGAGTTCTATATCTTTTCCTCATTAAGACATTTATAGAAGGAACTTGAAAACATTTTAGAGGCTCTATTAATTGGTTTAGCATTCTTATGAATTGGCCTTTTAAAAGAACAATTTTGTACCAGTCCCCTAAAAAGCTACTTTGATCTTTATTGTGAACAGTAAAGAATTTAGAGGTGAAGAACACTGATGTATACAATTTATTTCCAAATGCTTCAGCAAAAATAAAAAAGGCATGTGCACACACATGTGTGTGTATACAGAGAGAGATTAAGCAAATATAACAAAATTCAACAATTGTTGAATCTAGGTGATTCATACATTGAAGTATGTTTTGAAATTTTAGTTGGTGGAAAGCCATCTGAGATTATAAAATTTGAAATCAGGAAGCTAGAGATGAGAAAAAATAGAAAATTTATATACATGCATATTCAAATCCAACTAGAGATAGTTAATAAAAATTAATTTGAAAATGTTAAAAAATACCCCCCTTAAAACACATGCTATTTATCACATTGGTGGTGACATCCAAATTTTAGGAATCAAAACACTCCCCCTTTTGTGAAAATAACACTAATGACTTTAACACACATTTTTCACAAAGGAAGGGAAAAGAACAAGAGGGAAGGAAGAGCAAAAAAAAAATCTCAGGGAGAGATGAGAAAGTCTGAGCTAAGACTAAGATTATAAATATTTGAATAAACAGTCTCAGATATACCAAGTAGGAAGAAATAAGAAGGGATGATCAATGAGTCTACATCATTTACACCAGTGGTTCTCAAACTTAAGTGAGCATTGGAATTCCCTGGCAAGCTTATTAACCAGCATCTCTGGTTCCATAGATCCGGGATGTAGCCTAAGAATTTACATTTCTAATAAATTCCCAGGTGATGCTTATGCTGCTGTATACTTCTGAGAGCTACAGTCTTAAAATTTAGACTGAAGCTAAATTTCATTTATCAAGGCTCAACATTAAAAAACAAAAGCTCACAAGTTACAAACTACATGCTGATTTATTATAATCTCTACACAGTGATTTAGACTTTCAGAATAAATTGTTGCTACCAATAACAGTTTGCCAGATCATGAGTAATCAATGAAAAGGGGTCTCCACAAGGTCACTTAGAGAATCAGTAATAGGGCTTGAATATTAATTATACTTATCCACATTACAAAGTCTCACATTACAAATATGAACCTCAAATTTAAATAATCTATTTTATTAGACAAATAGAGTCTTTTTTTTTTTTAATTTATGGGTAATGGAAGCCAGATTAAAGGACCTCACTGTCCATGACTCCCATGTTTGGGGATTCTCCTACTCACTAAAAAAATTTTTTATAACCCCCAAAATCAATACTCAAGACACTCTCATGGTCATTCCTAGGTATGAACAGAGCAACAAAATATTTGAGTTGCTGATAGTGCATGTTCCCAGCTAAGGTCCAGCATGGGGATACTTTGCCTTCTTGTTCTGGATCTGATACTGTAAATAAATATCCCTTTTGTAATTTAAAAAAAAAAAGAAAAGGGGTCTCAAAATTTTTGATTACATAGTCAGACCAACCAAAAACAGACAAAATTTAGTATGGTCTTCCAATGTATGCATGTTTATTATATATACACTATTTTACTAATACATTATAGATAATATAAAGCACACATAAGATAGGGATTAAAAATTTTTAAATAAGCATTTAAAAATAGTTTCATATCTTATTTTTTAAGATTTTGTTTATTTATTTGAAAGAGAGAGTGTGTGCGTACATAAGCGGGGGTGGGGGTGGGGGAGCAGGGACAGGAGAAGGAGAAGCAGACTCCCCACTGAGCAGGGAGCCCCACTCAGGGCTCAATCCCAGGACCCCAAGATCATGACCTGAGCTGAAGACAGATGCTTAACTGACTGACCTACCAAGGTGCCCCTCATATCTTATTAGTTGACAGATTTTTTTTTTTTTAAGATTTATTTGAGAGGGAGAGAGCCTGAGTAGGGGTGAAGGGCAGAGAGAGCGAGAAAGAGAGAGAGAGAATCTCAAACAGATTCCCCACCAAGCAGGGAACCAAACTCAGGGCTCAATCCCACCACCCTGAGATCATGACCTGAGCCAAAATCAAGAATCGGGTGCTTAACCAACAGAGCTACCCAGGCACCCCTATCCTGTGTGTTTCTTAATTTTGATGGCTTCCTACTACCATTACTATTTCAAGGGACAAAAAAAAAGAACAAAAGTTTCATTAATAAATGATAATGGATATAATTTGGTATATCAAATTATCTTCAGAATTTCAAAATTTTTTGGGTGTATTCTCAGATGGAATCAGACTGTCATTGACTTTTACTTCATTAGTCAAGGGAAATTCATTAGCTCTGACTTGTCTATGCATGTGGTTCACTGCTACCACATTACTAGTATGGTCTCCAATATACAGTTTCTTTGCAGGAATCTTTTTATGCCATTTGTCTGTTTTGTGAGATTTGGCTTAGTTAAAAACAAAATCCACCTAACTAGTTACATGTACAATTCATCCCAGTATGCTGGGAAGGTGCAGCAAGGTGCTTCTGTCGATCTTCTGTATCACTTCCTCATGGACTATACCTGACACATGACAGTCTGAGATACAGACGAAGTGAAGATGCCAGTATCCATCTATATGTTAAACCTAATTAAGGTTTACTTCATTTTTTAGGTTGAAATACCAATAAAAGTTCAAAAAAATTTTCCCACAACCTAATGGACCATCTTACATACTCCACTTTGGAAACTGCTAATTTTAAAGAGCCCCAAACACTCTTCACAGACCTTTTATCATTATCAAAGACAGCATGGATCAATTAATCATCAGAAATCAGAGGAAAGGTAACTTTGGTCCGTAAAAGTTGAAAGTGGATCTAGAAAATGAAAAATGGTTACTCTTCAGGATGCTAACTAATGGGAGGAACAGACAGCGGCCTTTCTATACGTACTATGTACACACCAGGTTTTAGACAGGGTCTGAGATTTAATGAGCTTAAACCCATTAAACGCTTTGTGATTTTTAGTGGAAAGGTAAAACAAGCCACCATTTTAATTAAAATGATACATATGAAAACATTAAGAACATATCAAGTCCCAAGAAAATGTAAGGTATTCTCTTATTGTTCCATCTTTAAAGAAAACATGTAAAAAAAAAATCTGAAAAGTTAAACAAGTATAACTGGCATTTTTTTCCTACTTCATTATTTTCAGGTACTATTCAGTATAGACTTGGGAAAAGTAGAACGCTATGTGAATAACTTTATAAGAATTCTGGGTTTGTTTTGTTTTTATTTTGCATTTAAAGTTCGATAATTACATTATTTTAAGCTATCATAACTAATTTCTATTTCTTTAGCAATCTCAGATCCTCTTCATATATTTTTCACTCTCTTCCTAGACTCAAAAAAATGTATGCTGTATGCAATTCTGATGGTCTGACTGGAGTTAAATTTCATTATTTTTTCAGGTTTACTTAGTGGGTTAAAACATTTCAACATTAATAATTTTTAGCTTCAGATAGTTTAGCTCTGAATTCTACCAGCCAAACCACAAAATTTCAAGTTGTGTTCAGTTCCCAGGTTCAGCTCCAATGGTGGTTAGAAAGAGAGAACATGCCAAACCAGAAAGTCTCAGTTAGTTGCTTCTTGGAAACTCAGTGAATACACCACTTACACACTGAAGACTCCAGTAAAATACAATCAGCTTCATAGAGTTTAGATTGTGAGCCTCAAACCCGCCTGAGAAATAACTGAAAGAAATAACCAGTGGTAAAGATCACTCGACTATTAACAAGAAAGCAGATATTAATAATTAGTTTAAAGAAGAAAGAGAATTTAAAACAAAAAGAGAATTAATCTCAAGAAAAGAAAGTCTAATTATTCTGAAGTAAAAATGAAGCCTAGTCATTTTAATCTTTAGTGAAACTGAATGATTGAGATGATTGTGAAACCTGGACCCATTAGGACCTAAAACCAAGTTAACTCTCCTCTCATTCAAGGTGGAGGCAACAGGATGGGCCATCCACCAAGCCAATACTTCACCCAAGAAAATTTAAGGACTGCCTGGTTCTGATCTGGGAAAAGAGCTTGTGAAAATTTTGTATCATTTTTTTTAATGACACCCCTCACCCATCATTTGTCTCCATTTGCTCTACAATTATGTAGAAATATGATTAGACCTTCAGACCTACAGAATTCATTTTAAAAATAAGTAATTCTCAAAATCCTAAAACAAGCAAACAAAATCTCAGACAATTTCAGAAAGGCCAGATAGCACTTTGCCTTCCCTAAAAAACCTTAATCTTAAATCACTTTACAACACATGGAAGATTTTATACCTTGGATTTTCTCCATCACTCCCTCTTATTTCATATTAACAACTGCTGTCTTTCAAATACATGGCAAGGGACAAAAAAAGAAGGGTGGGGAACACAAGAGGACATGGAAATGACAAGTACCCCAAGCCTCACAGTTAAAAAAAACATCAAACAATATCAAGGGAATAATCATTCATTTAACAATCATATAACATGTGCCATATAAAAGATTCTTTGAAACCTTTATGGAGAAAGACGTTTACTTCTAAAGCTGGAAGTGAGTGAAGAATTAGGAACAATGACCCAATCACTGCTAAACTCCTGTATTAGGACAGAG